TGGAATGTGAAAATGTTGTTTAGCAAAACCTAGAAACAATATAGAATTGGTTTGTATTCATGCTTCATGCATATATCAGTTTTACTGAAGGTAATAATTACATGTTTCCGAAACCACTTTTTTTTGAGAGAGACAACAGCATTTGAATACGGGAGTGAATCCCCTAAATTACACTTTTGTGTGTCTATGGAACAGAACTCCCTCTCTAAACTGAGATGACTGACACCATTGTAACAATTGCAACGTTTTACATTGCACGTTTGGTATATGTTATTTTTGACAAAAGTAATAATACAGCGACCATAGACCCGTCATGTTCAGCAATTTTAACTAAACCACCGTAATTTATGTTTGTATGTTTGTACAGGGTTGCCAGGTCTGTAACGAAACTAGCCCAACTGACCCTTTGCAGGGAGTTTGATTGACAGGCGATCTGACCAATCATAAAGCAGAATCTGGCATTTTGGTCCGACAAACAAACCAGACGGGAGAGTAGATTAACGTTGGTGTACTTGAACTTGAAAAATGGTGTGTATTAACGTCTTTCCATGGTTGAAACAAGATAACTTCTGATGTTCATTCATGTTTATTTCACGCCATAATCTAGTAAAGAGGAAGAGATGATCGGTTCACGTGCCGCTTGAACTGAGGTGCTACAGTGATCAGTCACGACACATTGAAGAGCTGCAAAACGGTATTTATTGTTTGAATTTCTTAAAAATGACAACTTTAAAGCTTAGACTTTGTTTTATACCAAAAGTAACCTGCTCTGTTTGTCGGCGTGTTGTCAGTGACTACGTTTACATGGACATCAGTAATCTAATTATTGATTAAGGTAATCAAAAATCTCTGTTTACATGGTAGATTCTTAATCACAGTATTGTCTTAATCGTATTAAAATCGGAGTATTGTTGTCCATGTAAACGTGCTCAGTGTCCTCTTTGCTCCACGATGTATTTTTCACTGTGTGAGAACATGATGTGTGGTGTGAGAGCGGCATGGCTCGTCGGACATAGCAACAGTAATGAATAGGGACAGGTCTTTGCAAAGGGTCAATTGGTATTCAAAACTAGCCCAATTGCTTTCTGGCAGAAAATAGGTATCAGAATCTCTCCAAAGCATGCTCTAGGGGTCCAAAACCTCCTTCCAGTGGTTCCACCTCAGTTGAAATCACATTTCAGGGGGACAGGAGGTTTAGTTTTAACCCACAGACTAAAAACACAACCTGCGGCAGCAGTATAAAAGTAGCCCTATTACGTGGGTAAACGGAGGACTTGGCAACACTGTTTGCAACTGAGTGCACTCCCGAAGGTCATGTCCACTTATTATAAGTGATGCTTATTAAACGTATGTCTTTGGGCTTGTTTTTTGAGCTCGGCTCATAAAGCAATCCAATTTATAGTGTTAATAATGTGGACAGGTGCAGGACACAGTATTTTTTTGAGGACATCTGTTTGTTTGTGTAGTGGTTAGAGCTTTCAACAAGGCCTGTCCAAGGACAAAGTGAACCACCTGATATATTTGTGTCTTGTTGTGTGGTTGTGTGTTTTCCCAGTGGGGTGTTTTAGCTTTGAAAGAAGAAAAGGAATTGAAGGTGTATTGCCAGCAGTGCTCATCAAGGGGCCTTGTTCTTTACTGCTTTTACACTTTGCCCAATCAATAATGGATCATCAATTACAAATAGGCTGTTTGCAGCATTCAGGATGTAATCATAAATTAAAAATTTACACCTATACATTAAAATTGAACATAGTATAGGTTTAACAGGAACATCTCACATGTGTTCAGCTTCATCAGTGCACTGCCCTAAACCTTTCACACGGATGTATAATCACTGTTATTCATTTGTAATAGGCAGTCCCACTGTGACTCTATTTTTAAACCTAACGTTATTAATAATAGTAATTTCTCAGGAGTCCAGTAAAAGAAACCTCTTCAGCATTCATTCATAACCTGATAAACTGTATATGTTCAGATGCTGTTTTATGCTTTTTTTCCTGGAAAGAAACTAATTCTTTTAAAAATGTATTAAACTGATCAAAAGAGAACGGAAAGACATTTATACATTTACAGAAGATTTCTATTTTAACTAAATGCTTTTCTTTTGAACTTGATAGTTATCAATAAAGCCTGAAAAATATATCCATGTTTCCACACAAATATAAATTGAATATTCATTAATATTAAAATATTAATTTTAGAAGGGTTATGGTTTGCCATCACAGGAATAAATTACATTTGAAAATATATCGAAATAGAAAACAATATTATAATATTCACAGTATTACTGGTTTTACTGTATTGTTTAATCAAATAAATGCAGCCTTAACGAGTACAAGATACTTCTTTCAGAATCAATTAAAAATCTTACTGAGCTGTGTATTTTAACTGTTTTTTTTATATATATATATATATATATATATATTGTATTTTTTAATAAATATAAAATGTATTGCATTTAAAATCTGAACATGCTATTACATCTGTGCGCATGTATGTATGGATGATCTGAAACATTAAAGTGTGACAAACATGCAAAAAAATAAGAAATCAGGAAGGGGGCCAACACTTTTTCACACCACTGTATATGTATGTATATGTGTTTATATAATCTAAAATGTTTTTATTTATATATTTTACTTCAGAAGTGTAGTGCTATTTACAACAGAGATAAAAGTACTCGTATAGTTTATTAAAGCTTGAAAGTGATATATCTATCAATATATCAATATCTACTATTTCTGCTTTTTTGTTCCACAGAAGAAAGCCATATGGGTCTGGAATGACATGAGAGTAAGTAAATGATGAAATGATGAATTTTTCAGTAAACTGTCCCTTTAAGCATAAACCTTTGAAATCAAAAGGATTTTAAGATTTAAAGCATAAATTCAGTCAAGTGCATCCAAACCTTTGACTGGTGCTGTCAAACTGTTTCTCTCCCAGCACCTATAAGTATACGCTTGTATATTTGTATTATTGTACGAACGCTGGTTGGAGGCCGCAGTAGACCAGCTCTTCACTTCCACAGTCCCTTTGAAGCTGAGCCTGTTGGCACTAAACCCAAATCTTGCACTCAGAGAGCAGTGTGGGAACCAGTGGGGGGGAGAAGGAGGTGTAAGGACAGGGTTAATGAGTCTGTGGTGTAAAAATAGCTAATCTTTGAGACTTTTTAATTGACTTATCAGTTAAGATTGTTAAGAATAATTTATTGTATAATGCACAGTGTTTTGTATATTTGCATTTATATATATTTGTAATGTATTCTGTTGCAGTTTATATGTATCTATTGCAAAAACTCACTACAATAGTGCCGTATATAACTTTTTGTACAGTGACTAAAGGAGAATCATATAGTATTTGAAATATTTTTGCAGTAATACAGTATCTGACCCCTGTAGGTTCAGGAAGTGCAAAGAGAAAAAAACAAAGAGAAAAGCCACCCGGTGAAACTTTCTGTTGATTTTAAAGAATTTCTTGAAAAGAGTGATGTAACTGACCAAAAAATTGCAATCAGGCATTGTTGCATACTGAAATGCATTGCTTTCATATGTTAAAGCACATTTTTCAGTACGATGGCAAGAAACATACAAAAGAGCTTTTTTTCATGCACAAATTGTATCTTTAGTTTGAAGGTTTTTTTGTTTTTTTTTTTGCAGATTTTTTCTTTTTACCTCAGCTTCATCAAACTTGTGATAGCTGAATAGGTTTGGATGAAACTTTCAGTGTAAAATGATGGCATTATGGTTCATTTGTTCTATTATGTTACTGAAGGACAGTCAGGCGATTTATCACTTCTTGATACAATGAATTTTGTGTTGTTCTTTTTTGCTGATAGTATTAGTTATTTTTCCAACCAGAAGAAAGAAATTTCGACCTTGGACAAAGTGAGCACTATTAACACACATACACACACACACACACACACACACACAGACCTCAAACCCAAGGCAGTGGTGAACCGCCTGTTGCTGGTCTCTTGTCTTTCTCAATGGTGCTGTGTGGAAGAATGCTGCCGACCCCCACGACACCTCCAGCCCTCATGCATTCATCACCACAGCCGGAGGAGTGTATCTCATGCCTCCCGCCCCTCCTCTGCTTTATTGTCCCATTCTCCTCGCCTTAAACCATCAACCCGTAAACAATCTGGACCATATCACAGCCCTACATAACACGTGCATCTCATCTGGCCTTTTATCTACTTTTAATTGATTTAAATTCATTATTCAAATCTGCATGTACTTGTGACTATCTATCTATCTGTCTATCTATCTATCTATCTATCTATCTGTCTAGCTGTCTGTCTGTCTGTGGCTTAGTCTTTCATATCCAAACATTTGTATAAAACAAAAAATACTACTACTATTGTTATTATTATTATAATGTGACATTACAATATATTGCAAAATATATCATTTTATTTTCTTCTTTCATATTCAACATATATGCTAATACACAAGCAGCAAAATCCACATAATTTGTAAAGTATAAAAATATATAGTATATATTTTTATAAACCTTTTATATTTTCATTAAAAATATATATTATTTATATTATCTACTACTGTATATTTTGTATGTTAATGTGCATTTTATTATTGTACATTTACTAAATTACATAATAATAATTACTATTATATGTAATTTACAAAATCATACAAAATATACCATCAAATATGTATTTTTTCTCAACCTATATGCTAATATTTGAATATAAAAGACTAAGCTTTGAATAAGCCTTGAATATGAAAGACAAGCAGCAAAATCCACATCGGTTCCAACTATCCAAGATAAAAACCCGTCGGATGAGCAAAGCAAAATCGCGCTTGTACAATGGAGGGCTGTTTTTGTGTCTGTCAGTAGTTGAACATTATTGAAAGGAGTAAGAACTTCGGGAGGGGTTGGGGAGCAGAGGGGGTGGGGAGACAGTGGGAGCCGAAATCGTTTTCCCTCTCATACTGTGAGAACGCGTAGAATCGCATCTCTCCAAGTGGACGCGCGTCGGTTTGGTTTCACAACCCGATTGATTCGGTCGTGTCCGCACAGCGCCGTCCGTCCGTCCTCACGCTTCTCAGCAAGATCACCGACTTGCATTTTGTCTGTGGCAATGGGACCATAAATGACCAAATTCCATCGCATTGAAAAAAATAGAAGTAAACAAATACGACCAGTGAAGACACCTCACAAAAGAAGTGGACATGGAGACGCCGCGCAGAGGAGATACGCTATAACAGACTGAACAAACCACATCCAGGATTTACTTCTCGACTTGAACACTTTTTGAACAAGGGTTATAGAATTTTTCTTCTGCTAGATTTCTTTGCTACATGCAAGCATGAACCGAAAGGAGATGAGCTCGTGTTTGAGATGCTGGAGCGTGCCGATGCTCTCTGTCCTTCTGCTTGTCTTCTTGACACCGCTGTTTGCACATGGTAAGATGTTTTTTCACGTGCATATTAAATCAGCTGATATTTAACACTCAGTAGCCTTCAAACACGAGGTGGCATGACAGAACAGCATCACAAAATGAGAATGTCGGTCAGTAGTGCAGCCACTGCTGGGTTTTGCTGTGCGTAAATCATGACTGCGCGCCGGCGGCGGCTGCTGCTGCTGCTGATGTGCCTGGACCAGCGCCGTGGAAATGTAGGTTAAATGTCGAACTGGGAAATTTGGGGCTTCCTCCAAAATGCACATCATTAATTAACCCACATAAAAAGGAAGGGACACCACAGAAAACATCTGCAAGCAATTTGCAACCATTTTTGATATTTATGAACTTAAATAATGCGCAAATTCCTCATTCCTCCTGGCTGTTTTATGCAGTAGTAGTCGTAGTAGTAGTAGTGTAGAGTTACTGCGCTGTGATTACTCTACAGAGCAGCTGTTGTCACTATGGCAATGATGGAGGCGCACAAAGGCAGGATTAAAGCGCTAAATAATTTATGCTCGGACAGTCTCACGCAGCAAATCACACTGTTTATGCGTGTAGTTTGATTTTACGTACGGAACAAGAATGTCTTTGTTGTAATGGTCAGCCTCGGGTTATTCGAAAGATTGTGTCGTTCTCCTCCTCCTGAGAATGTTGGTCCTGAGGACCAACCCAATGGGAGCGACTGTTTCCTTGACCAGTGGTGCGTTTAAAATTCCGATAGATAACAGAGCGTTAGCGATAGTCTCATTGTGACGCGCGCTGTTTTTATGTAAAAACAAAAAAAAAAGCATGAAATCATATAAATCTATTGTTTAGTTCTTCACTAGTGGTTAGAAAGTCCATTGTCTATCTGGCTGGACACTCAGTTTCGCCCAACAACAGGACAGGGAAAATATGGTGTCTTGGAATCTGCTAATAGGAATATGAAAATTGATGACAATTAGGGTTTGTTATTACACATTTTACTTGATGATGCCCAAAGCTGCACTACATCAGCTGTACACCTTTGTTAAAGCTGCTGTGATGGCAGCCAGTGTGGTCTTGGTCTCAGTCAGGTAAAAATGATGTCACCGGTGGCCATGCCCTTTGTTGGCTTCATGCATGTACCTGCTTTTGATTTTAGGTCGGCTCACTTCCCCCTCCAATGTAAACGAGAAGGGATTTTTAACATTTATAAAGCAATTTTTGTAAAATGGTAATTTGAGTAGATGAAGTGTGCCACTGACTGCCATAGACAGCCTTTTCCAATCCATTAGGTCATTACCGGCGCGGTGTAACCTGCAGGAAAATTTGATTTGTCCCAGTAACTGATTTGATAATGTATTCACTTTTAATGCTCTGATCCGTATTTGCTGAATCGCCTTTTGTTGCCACACACTTGCCATTTTCTGTGCAGAAAGATTCAGCTACTGGTAGGGAAAAAAAGGTGTTGCCCGTCACATCTTGCCGATCAAACCATACGCTTGGGCTTTCAGTATATATTATATTCTTTTATTATACATAATGACTGCTCTGATGTCAGTAAATGGAAAGCTGTTTTGATTTTAATCTAATCTTGTGATTATTTTTGATACATTGACCCATGCATAATTAATATCTATATATGTGCCACCTGTTACTGTGCATTGAACACTGGATTCTGATCTCAATTCCCTTGAGATTTAGAGAAGGATATCGAGATGCTTTATCCTCTAACACTGAAACCCTCGCTTGAATGATGTAATGATGTTTGTATCAATACTCACAAATGGAATCCACCATTCTGAATCTAGGCTATTATTCCCAAATCTGCAAGATGTGCAGTTTTAGTTAAAATTTCAATGTAATCCTGAGTACCAGCAATTAAACCTCGCTGCTCTTTGTTCCAGGGATATGATGTCATTTACACAGCTGCTTAAATTGCAGGTTGCAGTTTAGTATTAAGTCTTGTTGTGACAAATAGTGCATTTTTGTCATGAAATATGGTTGTTGTGTGGATGCATTTGTGCATTATGAATTGAATGGATTTGTAGGCAAAGGGCTGTGTATTTTCAGCTGGATCTGTTGCAATGTAGTCGAAAACAACAGCTTGCAGGTTTTAGATGGTTTTAGGTGCGCTTAATCCGATTTGCATTCATTCACAATCATTTGCTGCCAAAGAAAGTCACTGCAGTCTGTTTTCAGAGTAAGAACAAGGTGAGGAAAAATGGCATTATTGATGATCAGATTAATTTGCTTTTCAAATATTTTGAAGGCAGGAGTTTACTGGGTCTTCATCGGATTGTTGTCTTTTAATTAATGGATTTAAAGCAACCAGAAGAAAGGGAGTGAATTATAAAGATGTGCTGTGTTAATGTGGGCTGCTGCCATTTTGTGTTTCATCAGAAACTGATCACCCCACCCCTAATGTATCTGCCGTGTGAATTCATACATGTAATGAAAAGACACCATTAGCTTATTTAATTAGCCTATCAAAGTAGAAGAATGAAAGAGAGGATATAAAAATAAAAACCAGTGGTTGTGTGGATGCTAGACAATTTAGCAGCTGCCTCTTATTTATTTTTACTTATTTATTTATTGTCAAAAGCTTAGCACAAGTTTAAATTTTCTCGGTGTTTTTTATTTAAAGGGGTCCTATTATGCTTTTTCACTTTTTAACCTGGGGAGAAAGGTATTTTAATAATGTAAATTATGTGAAAAATAATGTGTTTTTCGAACCACCAAGCATGAGAGCATGTTCTAGTACACCCCCAAAACAAAATCAAGACTTTGTAAAAGAGCATAATAGGACCCCTTTAAGTGCATGATGTGGACATATGAATTTGATGAAGGTTTTTCGCACAGCTTATTCCAGCTCCATCGTTGCATTCACTCTGCACAGTGAGGGCAAGCTGGTTCCCATGGCAACACATCCCTCCTCCATCCCAACCACCTGTTAAGTACAAAAATGAAAAGATTTATGCAACGGGAGGTGGAGAGACGTCCAGTAGCAGCTGTCTGATTATGTCTCAAGGTCAAAAGATCTGACTGTTAATACCTGCATAATTAGTCAAGGTAAAATATTTCATGGAGGGATGGAATCCTGTGTTTTTGCACAGAAAAACTAAGGTGTTTCATAAAAGCTTATTGAATAGATGGATTTTTGTGTTGACAACACTGATGAGTTAAAAAAAAAATCTCTCTACGTTTACCACTCCTTTGCATCAATTTACTTCCTATCAGTCTTTATTTATATTTTGAAAGTTTTTTTTTTTTTTTTTTTTGTATCGCAAAGTTCTGGAGCAATGCAATGATTAAGGCGCTTCATTTGGTGATTAATCTTTGGTGGCATCAGCTTTTATATATATAATACACACACACACATCCGTTTAAAAGTTTAGGGTGAGTAACATCATATTTTTTAAAGAAATTAATACTTTTATTCAAAAAGAATGCATTAAATTCATCACAAATGACAGTAATAAAGTAAAATAAATGCTGTTCATTTGACCTTTCTATTCATCAAAGAATTGTGAAAAAATTTATATTTTCATTTTCACAGAAATATTAAGCAACAACTGTTTTCGAAATTGATAATAATAAGAAATGTTTCTTCAGCACAATATCAGAATATTATAATGATTTCTGATGGATCATGTGACACTGAACACTTAAGTAATTTGCCACAAGAATAAATTACATTTTAAAATCTAAAAATATTTCACAATATTATTATTTTGACTGTATTTTTGATCAAATAAATGCAGTTTTGGTGAGCATAAGAAGCTTCTTTCAAGAACATTAAAGAAATCCTACCACCCCCAAACTTTTGCACAGTAGTGTATATTTATGCTATTATAATTGTTTTTAATAAACTTTTCAAATTTTATTGTTAACTTAATTTTATTACAAAAAAGTACATTTGTAAGTAAATTATGTAAGAAAAAGTGGATGTAAATTGGAAATAAGTTGACTTTACAGAAATCGCAATGTTATACTCCACCTATTATAAGATATGATTATGACAGAAGATGACATAATAATAGTTAAAGGGGTCATATGACGTTGCTAAAAAGAACATTATGTTGTGTTTGCGTATTGCGCCGCGTAAACATAAAACCATGTCTGCATTTGTGATCGGAGAAATGCCAAACAATAAGTGCTACTCTACACTGCTCAAACTCGCGTTTGAATCATCAGTGGCAAATTCTTTAAATATAAAAAAATGTACTTACAGGCTGTGAGTCAGAAGCGCCAGACTGTCCTTGCAAAGTTGGAACTGCCCAACTTTATAGAACAGCCTTTGAGCAGAGATCCATTGTAGGCTACTCTGCAGGTTCAAGAAACAGTCCTCCATAAAATGCGTCACACAGCGTCACACACTGCAGGCTTGAGTGAGGAACGGCCAGCGGGCTTGAGAACGGTGCGGCAGGCGGATTCGACGAAGGATCCACGATTTCTTTGCGTGAACATTTGGGCGGTGTTATGCAAATCTTCCCACACAGTGATGTAGACATGTGGGGGCGTGTTTGTCACACACGGCGGGCTAGAGTGAGCGGCAGCCGGAGGGCTTGCGGCAACCACATGTGACGACCCCGGGCTGGACTCCGCTTCGTCCACGGTGAAAGCCGATCCGGTGATCCACAGCGCGAAGTTGATGTATTTCCTCAGTGACCAGCACGGATCAGCTCTAGGCATGACGAAGCTGATATCATCCTCTTTTGGAAGGCCAAACAAAGTAGTTTCGCTTTCACAACGAAACACACAGCTCTTCACGACATGGCGGTGGCGGCAACAATACTACAGTGAGAGTACTACTTCTTTCTTTGTGTGAACATTTGGGCGGCGTTATGCAAATCTTCCCACACAGTGACGTAGACATGTGGGGGCGTGTTAGAACGAGCCGTTTTAGGAGGGCGTGGACATGTCTTAACTTTTATAAAGAATATCTCTTTGGATTTGAGACTTTAGTCTTTGCAACTTTACAGATCTTCTTTATGCACTAAGAGCTTGTAACACTCCAAAGAGAAAGGAAAAATTGAAATCACATCATTCGCACCCTTTAAATGCAGCTGTTGGGTCCATGGTTTTTCTGAGTTGTACCTCCCACAGTTTTTGCTCAGGCAGCCTGTCATCAGAAAACCATCAGACGTACAGACGAGCTGTCAGTGCTCTTCGCTGTCCTCCCTTCACTGTCTGCAGAGCTGCACAAACAAAGAGCCTGGCGTCTCCCCAAAGTCATGCAACTAAGATCCCGTGGCCATCATTCCTCCCAGCCTGGCCACCAAACAACAAGCGGCAAACCCCAAATTACCTCCTCCCCCCTGGGCTGCAATGGGGTGCCTGAGAGAAAAGGGGTAACTGAGTATTATGTAACAAGATTTGACCATCTGAGAGAAAAGGGGAAACACAAGGACCTTTTTGTGTCCGCTTTGCCTGGGGCCCCTGGTTCCTTGCTCCTGTACTGCGTCCCGTCTGGGAGGCGCATTAAATACTATGGCTGGAGATCTTTGATAAAGCCTTGGCTGTAAAGATCTGACCCAGATCTGGCTATTTAACCCACAAAATCTGCAAAACCAGCATTCCAGCTGGTGTCAAATGTTTTTATTCTTACAAAACAAATAGTCTTGACTGTCTGACCGGCTCGGCGTATTCTGTATTCTGGAAAACAGCATATGTGAAAATCCTGCTCCTAATTAGGTTACCGTCAGGTATCCATGACATACATTTGCAAATGATTGAAGGACACTGTGCATTAACTGTTCTCACTTATCAAATTCTGACCTTCCACACCACAGTTTGGTTTTTATCCCGAATTTAATCACTGGCTGCTCTATACATGAGTCACACTGAAACACCATTATACAATTTAGCAGATACGCTAATCTGGAAATATGATTATGCTACTCAAATGAGAGCTTTATTACTTAGCATTGGCTGTGTTAATGGTGCAACGTACAGTACAGTAGAGATCGTGAATTTTAATTACACATCTGGTTTCTATTTAGTCAGATTGATCATGTCTTCCTGTATTAGTCATCATATTTTGTGTTAAAATAAACATAGGATTCATTTTTACTCTGAAGCTTTGATATTTGTACCTTTTAGTTTTTCTAATTAATTTTCCAAATCTAATTTCTGAAGGATCATGTGACACTGAAGACTGGAGTAATGGCCGCTACAAATTCAGCTTTGCCATCACAGGAATAAATTATGTTTTGAAATATAATAGAGTAGAAAAGAATTACAACCTAAGGTTTCTAAATATCCAATTTCATGTGCTTGAGTGTGCGAAAGCTGAATATGTTTCCCCTTATTTGTTGTATTATGTTTGGTGTTTATGCCTCAATATCGATTTGACATTTGTGTTTGAAAGGCATGTTAATCTTGCACGAATGCAGAGACTATAATGTTACCACAAAGGAGCTCTATCAGATTCATCTCCGTCAGATTTGTCACATAAATACTACATTAGTGATTCACGCTCACTAATAAAATCCAGACCAAGCACATCTGGCCATTTTTGGGAACCTTTTTTTTTTCTGGGAAGCATCTCTGTGCCAAAGATCTTAGTCTCTACTGTCACATGTTATGTCTCCGACGATGCTCAATTTATTTCTTTATTAGTCACTGGTTTTAAAGTGAAAAAACACAGATGTTTTAGAACAAAAATGTCCTGGCAATACAGAAGTAAATAAACTTTTCATCACTAGAGCAGTCAGGTAATGGCACAGGAGAATCAATGCAAATCAGCCATCTTTGGAAACAAAGATCTTCAAGAAAGAGAGGCTATCATGTAAGTTTGCTTAGACTTTTACTTCAGGATCACAGATCCACTGTGTTTTAAAACACACTTTTAGCTGAGCCTATATACTTCAAAAAAATGCGCTATTGCCATTCCAGAAATTCACACAGTTTCCTGTGTAGTGGAAGCCGCAACACATTTTTGAGCTTTTAGTCCACAACTACGAAATCTTTGTTCTTTGAATTATTTCCCAGTGGCTAAATGTCAAGTTCTGAATTCATGAAAAAGAACATAATGATAATGAATTGTACTTGAAGCTGTATTGATGTCTAAGGGACTGTTAGTCATTGAGGAAGAGACCTGCTTAACTGTATTAGTTTGGCCAGAGATGATATTTTTAGCTCACCATTACTTCATTGGGAGTGTCTGTGTTTTTAGTCATATTCTTGGACCTATTGTGAATGATTCATTTGTTTATATTATTCCAAAGGGGAACAAATGCCTTTGTAAACTATTGTTACCTCAAAAATGACTTCTTAATAAGTTTTAGTGAAGTGTTTTTGATTTGTTTCCAGTAAAAATATATACAGATCTATAAAATATGATACATTTGCCTTAGAAGCATATTTAGACTTGTTTTCATAGGTTGTATTTTGAGCACAAGTTTCAATATATTGCACAGTGATCAAAATGTAATTTATTCATAGTCACCAAGCAAGCCCTGTTATTTTTCAACCACATGTCAGATAGTGACATTTTTCACAGTCAACTTGATGGATAAAATCAAGTAACTCCTTATTATTATTTTTTTCCTTATTGAATTGATTATGAACACTGTGTTTACTTTAATTAAATTTCAACATTGTTTGATTAGACCTGATAAGATGACAAAAGAATCTTAAGGGCTTTTCTGATGGTCAAAGATAGTGTGTGTCTTTTTAGGTAATTGTTGCTCTGCCGGGAGCCCATATGAATCTAGTCGCGACCCATAATCCCTAATCCTGTCTTTGACAACCATGTGCATTAGTTAAATAATTGTGCCTAATCTCAAGGCTTGCTAAAGAAGTTTTTAAAGATATTGGGAAACCTACCACTGAGAAGGAAATAAGCAAAGAGTTAAATACCAGCTGCTTTTTCAATGAATGCAAAGGTTTTCATTGAGTTCTCCTAACTGTGATCTGCTCCTTTCAACAGGTAACTCTGTGGTGGGAAATGAAACCGAGGTTGATAGTGCTGTTAACGTGACCTCCTTGTCTACCGGAGATGAGGAGGAGAAGATAGAGGAGGTGTCACCGTTCACCAGCTTGTCCAGCTCCTCAGACCCGACTCGCAACGGACGAAAGTTTAGAGATGAAGAAGTAGGCAGTGGCATGCTGGAAGAGGTCTTCCAGCCAACTCCTGGAACTCCAACTTCCAGTGAAGGTGCCACAACCACTTTGGCAAGCCCAGAGATCAGCTCCGAGTCTGCTGAGACAGAAAA